ATTGCATTTTATACACTGCTTCACCCAAACCAATATACACTCCAGGTTTTACGGTGCATTTTGGCTCAAGCATTATTGCTAGGACAGTGTTTACAGCAATATTTATTGTGTTCTGCATAGTCCTGCCCATCAATCAGCCTTGTAATAAAGCAGAAAGGGAAATCGGTGGAAAAGCAGCAGAGCTGCTGAATTCAAGTTAGTCATACAAAACCACCATGGAGACAAATACAAATGCAATTGGGTCAAAGTAGCCATTTGCCTACTGATTAAAGAAAAAAAAGAAACGTGTGCTGCATTACAGTTTGCCTTAAAATATAATTTAGGCTTCAAAGGGTTAATTTTTTCATCCCTATTTTCTCTGGGTTAGCATTGCAAGATGACTGCTGCTCCATACAGATTTATAATATGTATGTGTTTACTCACACATCTCCAAGCCAACAGAAAAGGCAGACCAGAATTCCAAATCTATCATTAAATCTACATGCTGACACCTACAAAGAGCTGCAGGACTTCAATTTTTCTGGATAAGACTGAAAGGATAAATTGAAAGAATGAACAAACAAACAAGCAGAAAAGCCACTCTCATCCTTAAAATTCACACACAAAGCAAGAGAGACAAAAGGGGAAAAGAAGATGGCTTGTAAGGTTGTTGGATTCCAGGCTTGTCTAACAAATTAGGAATAACTTTAGGAACAGTAAAATCTCTGATTCTTTCAGGATTACATATGGGTGTGCTGACAAATGGTGTGGTTCAAAAGACACAGCACTGGTTTGGCTCTGAAGCAGGGTGTGTTATTCCCAATTCAGCTGCTGAAGTGGGATGCAACTTCCAGCCTTCGCCCAACTTGGATATCCAGACCCTGCTTCACAAATTTTATTCTCTTCCTCACTGTGAATAAGTGCCTCACAGTATCAGGGTATACTACACTTAAGTCCTAATCTTATAATTAGCGCATCTAGATGCTACTGCAAAATAAATGGTGATGATGATATTGATGAATTATGACTTGTTTTTTCATTCTTCTTTAGTCTAGATCATAAAGAATTCACGTAAAAATCAAACTAGGGTAAGATCTGTGTACCCAGGGGCCCCCCACAATTCCCACTGAAGTCAGTAGGACTTGGATGGAAATTGATTGAGGCTCTGAAACTAATTCAGCATAGGTGCTTCTGCGCTGCTGTGCTGGGGATCACAGCAACACCTAGTGCAATAGTCATCCATCGGACTATGAATGCAAGCCAGTCAACAGAGCTAAGAATACAGATAATGCAGGGAGGGGAAAGAAGTGTTCAGCGTAAAAAAAGAAACCAAGGAGAGATGTTCTTAGCACATCAAGAGCTATAATGAAATACTGCATCTTGAGTTTGTCGCTGTTTGAAGGAAACTAGGAAACCAGCAAGAATTCATTATAAAGCTGCTCAAGACCAAAACATGAATCATTGGGTTCTAAAAAAAACCCAGTTGTCTAGAGAACAGTGTAGATGAAAATGAATGGAATCTCTTTAAATTACTCTCTGTATAAACTCTTTCGCATTCATTCTGTCTGCCATTGATTAGTATCTTTCTGGGATATGGGTTTTTAAATAATTCCACACCATACTCCCAGCTTCTGCAATCAAAACACAGAAACGGCTCTTGATTCTGCATTTTTAGCCTTCATTTACAGAGAAAAAAAGTCTTCTGCAGTAAGAAACTTGAACACCTACTGTTCTTATCCATTTACTGGATATCCCCAAAAGTGCATGCTGAAAGCTCAGTAATCAAATGAGATTAAGATTCCCCCATCACTTTACAAATAAGGAGACTTTTGTATGCTACTGCTGCATAAAGAAGGCTTAAATCACCACTGGAAAGCCCTCAAGATCACTAAAGTGCTAAGAAGCTGGGACCTCTCTGATCCCAGCAGTCCTGACAGGAAAGCAGAAAACCCCAAATCCTACACAATATATTGAGAAGACTTCTCTGCAAGCCCAGGCAGGAACGTGCAGAAGGGAAACATGGCAGGCAAAACATGGCCTCTGGCTATGCTGTTCCTGCTTTGCCCACTTCCCCGAGAAAATGAGGCTTGTGTTTGTGTATGCCTGTCCTTGCCCCAACCCCTTTCCAGCTGTTTCAGAACCCTTAACCAATTACAGTGACAAGAGCTCCATTGAGGGAGAAGCAGTAGGGAGAGCTGAACTTGTGTCAGTCATGGGGAAACCACTCCAAAGCAAGAAACTTGCCATGTTCCAAGAACTGGAAAACCACAATGTCCTCTACCAGTTCCCAATTTGAGTTAATTTCCTATTAGATGTGTACCTTCCCAGACCAAAGAAATCCAACCAAGAGATACAACTCTGTTGAAAAGCTGGCTTCCTCATCTCACAGCTTGTGGAGTGATACAGAAAAACACTAAGGGAGCCCATGAGAATAATGTGGAGGGGCTCTGGTAAGAACCAACATCCTTTTCCACCTACAAGTGCTCAGAAGCAGAGATTCCCGCTGCTAAGGACAGTCCTCAGCAATTTAGACTGAAGGATCAGCCCTTATAGGTGCCTCCAAGCAGAAGTCCATCCACTCTTTGTCTTTTTAACCAGAGACTCCTTAATCTATGCCCAGAAGGCATTGCTCAGCCTGCCCTTGCCCACAGCAGTCCCCCAGGGCTCCCAGCCCATGACTCCCCGGCTGCAAGGAACCTCCCAAAGAGACCACAACAGTCACACAAACCTGAACCCTGCCAGAAAGTCTGCCAGCTCTGAAAAACACAACAAATATAGATGCAACATAGAACAAACAGCAGTACCGAAGCATTGCACTAGCCTGTGTCCTGCTGGCACTCTGACACAACAAGAAATGGGGCAAATCAGCAAGAGAACAGCTGTTTCTAAGGGCTACCAGCATCTAAGATATCTCAGGCACCTTGCTGCAGATGTACCCAGCACCTCTGACACCTATAGCATCCAGCACAGTGCCATTCGTCTGATTTAGGCAGAGGTATGGCCATCTGGGACAGTCCCCATGGCTGTAGTTTTGCAAAAAATGATGCCGCATTGGTTAGTAGCTTGTGAACCAAGACTGCTTGCAGAAGCGTAAGAAAGGAAGATTTTCATAGAAACAGAAAACACAGTAGATTGCCTAAGACCTCAGGCTTCTCACAGAAAAACATCCCACTCATGATTGTTGGAGTGGATTTTACAAGACTTACTGTGATGACATCCAAAATTTATTGCAGCTTTTACAACAAGACCGTGTCTAGTAAAGAGTGATGTAGTGACAATATTTACTTGTCTGGATTTAGCTTCTTAGGGCACATAAATATACTTCTGTACTTTAAGAACAGCCATAGCTGCCTACTAAATCTTGAATAATACAAGGCAGCTTTGTAGACCTTTAAACACATGCACCAACTTGGTTCTGCCTCCTTCACAAATCTGCTTTCTTACTATCTGCCCAGTCAGTCCCCAAGGACCTGTTCTGCTTGTCTTCTGCAAGCCTTAGTTTTTAAAATGAAACTGTTTGGAAATCACACTTTTAAATTCCCATGCTTTTTGAGTACGGAATTCACTACTTTTAGAAAGAGGCCAAGTTTGTTTCACCACCCCCCCCAGTTATAAAACAAACTGCAAATCTTATCTGTTTCCCTTGGTACATACATGACAAATTATGCGTGACCTCATTTGAAAACTGATTTATTGACCATATGCATGAAAACGCTATCATAAATATAAATTAAATTGTAGATTTCTGTCAAGCACTGAATAAGGAATTTCTTTGGTGTAACAGGTTAAAAAATTTTCAAAAGGACATTAGAGTAAAATAGGAAACACATAGCAATAGTTTAGGCTGTGTTTTTTTGGGAGCCAGATTTGAAGCATGTTAAAGGTTCCTGATTTCCAGAAAGCAGCCTGAGTCCAATATCAGAAAATTAGGTGCCTTGAAAGTGCCTCATGCTCATGTTGACCACTTCATAAGTAAAAATAATACTTTACCGACACACTGTGCTCTTTAATAGATATGCTTTTTGGTTTGATTACCAAAACTACACAAGAACTAGGTGATACTCTGCCAAATAACAGGACTATATTTGAAAAACCTGAATCCAGCCAGGACCAGCCATAAGCCTGGGTAAGAGCCCAGACCTGCTGTCTGTGTCCTGTGCAGAAAGCTGGCTCAGCTCCTGGGGGCTGGTCCAGCCAGAGGAGCCCAGCAGCATCCCAGCCTGATGCTGAACCTGCCCTTCCCCTGCCACAGGGCTTCTAAGAGGTTACTCAGGGGGCTTGGGCAGAAATGAGAGAAACTCTTAAGGACAACCCTCCATAGCCACCCAGACTGGCCCTGGCCCTCCCAGCCCCCAGAGAAGCCTGAACCACAAGCCCCACCCTGCAAGTAGCACCCAAAAGTCATGTTCTCTGTCCCGAGGCAGCGCACTACCCAGAGCCAACACTAAACTTCCAAGAACAATCACAGATCCTGGGACCAGTGTTAAACCAGCAAACCCGTAAATGACTGCACCCAAGACATTCAAAAACCCCCTCCAACTTAAATGCAAGTTTGCTTACATTTCACAGCACCCCCTGTATACAGCAAAGGGTTTGGACTATTTCCACATTCTTTTTTGCTGCTGCTATTCTTATAAAAACACATCGTTCTTTCCCTGTGACATCTCTTCATATCTTTGAAAGAATGTTCTTTGTTACCACAAAATATTTGGCTTGAATCCTCCAGTGAGGAGGAGCCAAGGGTTTGGCTCATGTTTTAAAAACAAAAGACATATTACTCTAAACATAAAACAAATGAGTGTAACTGTAACAGTAGATGGAGATAGAGCTCCTAGCACAACCTATGAATAATTCCAAGTTCTAATAGAAGTAACACAGCTTTCTGAATTTCCCTAGTAAACAGAATGTCATTACTAGGTCCCAGCTTGACTAAAATACAAAATGTCACTTTTTGCAGAGAGAAAGCTAAACAAAAGACAATATGTAGTGTAACAACTACACTGCAAAGCATATCCACTTACAAGCTGAAATTGTGAAAGACAATATGTGTACACATAAGTACAGAGATATTAAGAGATGGCTCTTACCTCCATCCCCAGATCCTGAGCCAGCATCTGAGAAAAGAACAGAAAAAAAATTATATTCATGTGCTCCAGTATGTCCTGTAAGCATGCAAAGCAAGACTGTTAAGTGTATTACAGTGTACCTTACGTTTGATGTCATCCATGGGTAAATTATAGAGATCTAATCTGAATGTAGCTCACTCAAGCCACCTTTCTCATGTCTTAACTCTTTTTCTTTAAAGTCTCTATATCAGGATAAAATAACGTAAGCCCTGGAGTGCTGTGACATCCTCATAAGTCTCTGCCTCGTTTTGTTGTACCAAGACTGATAAAGCCTTGTTCCCAACAGTTGTGCAAAGTTACTTCACTCGGTCACTACTAAACCGTCACCAAAGACAATTTTTTTAAACCCATTTTTTTGAGGCCAGACCAATTGGAAATTCATGTCACAAAACAGTGACATCCTATCAGATCATAACTAGTTGGAATAAACCACTGAAATTATTATTATTCAAAGTCTTTAGATAAATTATTAAAATGCCATTTTTCTCGAGGCTGTTGCTGAGTTTCAGATTGAGTGTTTTATTTTTCCTCTGCTCAATGTTTTGTTGGCTGGAATTACAAGAGTCACAAATTTAGAAAGTGCAACATCACAAAATTGCCAAGCCCGGAGCGTCATTATGAAACTTTCTGAGCAAAGCAAAGCACTGAAGTGCACACACGTGTTGGGTTACCAAAAATAATCGATAGGAGGAGTTTGTTTTGCAGGGAAGGGAGGGAGGTTGTCATCCTCCCCCTTAGTGGATCTTAATCAGCATCAAGATTAATAGGAAGAGTTTGGAAGGGCTCCTTTGGGATCCACATTACCCTATGAACTGTTAGATCTAATTTACTGACAGCAAGGGCTGGTGGATCTGAAATGGCCTGTACATGCCATCATTGCCCAAAGTTAAAAAAAAGAAAAACTTATATTTAAATAAAACTGTCAGAAGAACAGCTTAAAGTGGTAGATATACACAACAAGGCTGCATGGGACAGATACAAAAGGGGGTTGGAAAAAAACAACAGAAAATGATGGTGTTTTCCCAGTGACAATCTCCTGCATTTTCCTAATCTGATCTTCTGTCCTGACCCTCTTTCCTAAATGAGCTAACCAAGGAAAGGGGAAAGAAGGGTGTCTTCATTACAATGCCCTCACAGCTCTGGGAGGCACTGCATTTCCAGGTGTGCCAGGTCTCCCCAGCATACAGAAAGAAATGAATGCCTGCTATCATCTGCCTCCCATGATGGACTACCATATCCGCTGGCTCTTTGGAGGAAAAGCACCTCATGTCTCTCCTCCTGCCCCTACCCTTCGATGCCCAGACCTCTGCAGGTTCTGCCCAGGAGGGCTGCTCGCTGCCAGACCTCCCAGCAGCCCAGGGCTCTGCTGGGAGTCCTGCGCACCCTATCTCTGCCCCATCCCATACAGAAAACCCGAGGTACACAGCTGCTCTCTTCTTCGCTGACCCTCCTCCTTAGGGAGAAAGAAGAAGAGGCCAAATGATCGAGATTTCAAGAAAGTAATTTTGTTTTTTTTTTTCTTGTTTCTGAAATCCACAATGTGCTTCAGAGAGAATGCTTCCAACGTAGCCATCGCCAGTAGGCAAGTAAGTTTAAGAAAAGATGTAGCAATGCACTAAAACTATCCCTTTAATCAAAAAGTTTAAACCAAAGACGACCAGTTGCTGTGCTGAGAGAATTTACTAAATTGAAGAAATCCTATGCCAGAATAGACTTTGTCAGCCTGAGCTCTGCTTAATACCAATTTATAGACAAAAAAATTGCAGCATGTGCTTTTTTTCCTCTTGAAAATTTTCAGGTAACAGCTTCAGTGAAGAACAACACTTCCAGGGAAAGAATTTTATTTTCTCTCAGGTGTATGAAACACAAAGTTACAGAACTGCAAAAAGTTTGTCTAATGCACTTTTTATTGACTACTCCATCCTCAGACAAGAAAAAATTCTGCTTTAAGTTTAAAGAACTCTCTCAAGAACAAAGACTCACTCCTCCCGCTCTTTTCAAGTTAACTTCTTTGCCCACCTCTCACAGATACGGAGCACAAAAGAAAAACATCAAGAACTTCTGCACATAAGCAACTCAGTTTTCCTGACTGATTTTGCTCATCCACCTTTCTAGTTGTTTCATAAAAGCAGAGATACAAATATCTCACAACACTCAGAGTTAAGCAAAGATGTCTCAAATGCCAGACAGTTTTCACATACAGTCTTTAATGAATTCTTCCAATGAGTCCAAAAAAAAAAAAAACCAAAAAAAAACCTGTTGCACAGAGTTGTTCATGAGGTGTGTTTTGGGCCAAATCTTCAGCTGGTATAAATTAGCAGGGCTCATTACAACCAGTGGCCTGTTGAATCATACCAACTGGGAATCTGGCCCTACATGCATAAGAAAAAACCTAAGAAACTGGATTGCAGGCAATAATGCTCCAGTTCTGTCTCTCCAGATTACGGAGAGGTTTGTGGTAATCCAGATGCCCATTTATCAGACATCTGCTCGTTTAATCTGCTTCCAGTTACTTCTCGTAACAGCTCAGAAGTGTACGCAATGCACAGGATGATCAGGAGCACAAGACACGTACTAAAAAAAGAAATCGACTTCTGTGCTGCACTCTTCAAAACAGTGTCAAGGGTATACTGTATCAGAGACTGTGAGCCTACACCAAGTTAACTACTTAAAAGGGAAGGATGGAAGCAACTTCTCATGCTTAAGACTGCAAAGAATTCACCTGTAATTAATTCAAAGCAGGGATTCAAACAGCTTTTGCCACTCACAGGTTATTTTATTCAGGGACATGGCAAGGTCTGCAGGCAGCCTAGAGCGCGTTATACGTACCCGTGGCACACGATCCTTCGGACACCAGGAGTATTTCGCTCTGCTGCTTGCAGGCAGCCTGTTTCAAGTAGCATTCGTTCTGGTAGGTGTCACCGTTGGAGCCGCACACGGGCACATAGTCATTGTTACACTGATGGGAACAGACAGGGAGCAGCAGCGTTAGTCACACGACAAGGGTGGCACAGCATCCGTTTGGGTGTCCCCCCGCCCCCTTCCAGTATTAAAACCCTGGAAAAACAACAGAGAGGGAGAGACTGACCCTCCTCTTCACCTTTACAGCTACCAGGGGAGTGGGAGGGCTTTTTTTTTTAAAAGACAAAAGGCAGAGGAGCATAAACCAGACTTGAACAGGTCAGGGAAAGACAATCTGGATGGGCAAAGCATTCAGTAAGTGCCCCCAGAGAGGCATCTCCCTGGAAGAACAATGTAGGGGCATTCCCAGGGAAGGAATATGGGCAAGGCAAACGGCTCCTTGCATCTGCAACAGCAGCTCACGCGTTTCCACTGGATGGCTACAGGCAAATTACAAAGAACAGGCTCACTTTTACCCCTCCTCCTGCACACACACATCCTCACTGCTACAGAGACAGGCGTTTGCATATATAGAAGTGTCCGCCTGTGTGTGTATAACTCTCTATTTAAGTACTTAGCTATAATTAGACCTGATTGGACAGAGGGAAATTATTTCTGAGAAACCTATGATCAAAACCCATCCCTCTTGCTGCAGAGACATTTCTGCTCCCGGCAAGCTGCAGCCAGGATGCTCTGTGAAGGTCCACGCTCTCCCCGCGGCGGCCAGCAGGCAGGAGCAGGAGCACCGCAGCCAGCATACAGGGAAGTTGCTCACACCATACACCCCTCCTGTGGCTCAAACTCCTGCTCAGCTCTGCAAAGTACCTGCTCTGTTCCCTCTACCACTGGAAGACAACTTTGCCCTCTCTTGTTCATTTTAATAAAAATAATTCCATTTTATATTGAAAATTGGGCAACCTACCGGGTGCAGTTATCATAAGATAATCACACTCTGAGGCTTAGAAATACTTGGATGTACCCTGCACATGGTAATTATACCAGGGATATGATTATCTCATGATTACCGTACTCCTGGTATGCCTCATTGTTTAATTATAACAAATGGAATGATCACAATTATTATTTACAAATGCTCACCCCTACTTAAATCCAAGTAAAAATTAAAAAGAAATCATATTTCCTATTTAGCTGTATTATGCCACAAAGCGTCTGAGGTGTGTTCGCCAGGCACAACGTCAAATGCAGAACTGAAATTCCAGGAACATAAACACCAAATATGCTTCAAAGTGAATGACTACATAAGTGATTAACACAAACAAATGCACAGGTTGCATTAATTGCAGGCCTCCACACAGAGCAGCTGCCAAGAAATTATTCATAGTTGGTCAGAGTGACATTTTGATTGGGCCAAATCAAATGACATTTTCCTTATGCATTGTATTTTCCTAAATCTTCCCAAGCTGTGGCCCACCCCCAGTGCTCTCTTCCTTTGGAACAACAAAGAAAATCAGCAGCCGCAACAGCAGAAATCCTCTTCTTCTGCTCTCAATAAAGGGCTCCTCCATGCAGAGATTTTAAACAGTTGATTAAAAAGTGTTTCTACACTATTTTCACCATTATGTTCCAAATTTGAGCAATGTTTCAAGCAGAAAATGCCAACTTCATCCAGAAGCTCAACAGCAATTGCTGGAGGCTGATCTGGACCAGTTAACCAGGGCAATTAAACAATCATGCACATTTTTTAAAGCATGAAGGATCAAATCATGCTTGCTTTAGACATACTATCTGCTTCTCACCCATGGGACTTTTTGTCAAAGCAATCTGTGCAGAATTTGGCCCAAAGTGTCTCAACAGGTTCTGTTACATGAAGAAACAATGCTGGATCCTGTTCCCACAAAACATAGCAGCAAACTCTCTGCTGGTTTCGCCCAGAGGAAGAGATGATCTTTTACACTGACTCAGCTGCAAATCTGAAAGGCCAGACAGCTCTACATTAACAGCACACAGCATCAAGAGTGAAATCCTGATTCACAGAGTGACAGAGCTTCTAGGAGCTAGGCTGGAAGTTCTTCCAAAGCTTGGCAATTTTACAATGTATTTGAAGGACACCAGGGCTCAAGGAAGGATTAATCCTCATGGCAGACGTTTCCCCATCTCTCCTGTGGCTTCTGCCACACTTAAGCAGGTGTGGAGGGTGCTCCATGATGAGCACAGGTGATGCAGCTTTTTCTTTCTCAGCCTGTACTAGTCCCAGATTAATTTCTTCATCTGCTTCCCATTCTTCCCACCACTGCCTTCGGATAACCAGTATTTGGATGGAAAATGCAGGAAACTAGGAACTGCTGATAAGCCACAGGGAACAAAAGAAGTATGAGCATCCAGATGGATCCTGCCTTGGCTTTGAGCTGGGAGGGCTATGAAAGCCACCAGGAAACTCTAGTGGGAGTTAGCCAGGAAAGGAAACAAAACCACCAATGAGGGGATTGTGACACTAGCCATCAGGTTGCTCGTGATCCGCTAGAGCTAGACTCTTGCACTTGACCACCCTGAATCCAAGACTTAGAGCTCTTCACCATCATAAAATATTTCTCGCTAGCACTGGAGAATATCAGACATTGTCAGTTTCCTCAGTCTAGCAATACATTTTTGGCATCAGTTTAGGGCTCAATATACCAAGCCCTAGATGTGGGAATGATTCTCCACCCCTCAAGTAAGGGCTGATCAAACACTCGGGGAAATGCATGTCAAAACTTCCCCTAAACCCAGCAGCATAGTGCCATACTGTCCACTTCTCTCTCATACACGCACGTTTTTAAAACACAGCTGTAAAGCAGGGAAATGGACATATCCAATTCAAAAAAGCATCGGTCGAAGGCTGCCTTCCTCAGCACTAGCAGCCTGAGTGCCCACTATCACAGCCAGAGACACACCAGCGTTGCAAGCTGGCTGGGGTCAGTGCTGGGCACTGAAAGCGTAAGGCTTCCAATTATAACCTGTGTAACTCCTCCTCCTGGCAATACTGTCAAAAGTTTGACCTCCTCCTACTCTCATGGATTAACTACTCCCAAAATACCACCTATGTCTTGAGCCAAGCAGCACAAACATATATTCTGGAAATACCATGCAAGTTGTCCAGGTGCTGTCCCAGCTCCACAAACACTGAAGCATGTGAGGGCTTCAACATGCATGAAAACAGGACTCCCTCCCTCACATAAAAAGCAGCGAACGTCCACAGTCTTGGTGACTGAAAAGACATGCAATGCTGATAGAGATACCCTGGTATATTTTTTTGATACGTTCATGAAATCTAAAAGGGAAGAGAATCCAGGCTGCCAGACCTATGGCTTTGGGCAAACCCGGGTACAAACCCCAGCCAGACATGTCTCTAACCACACACCTCCTGGCACAGCTCTGCATCTTCTGGTGGACCTGTTGAGTTTTCCCTGTGCAGGGAGGGAAGGGGTGGTGGCTTCCCCCATGCTCAGCCCCACTGCTGAAGCCAGCACTGGCCCAGTGCCTTCCCACCCAGCCAGCACCAAGTTCTGGGTGGGCCCCAAGAGGAGGACAGGTCTGAATTTACTGATCAGAGCAGGACATGCTGCTCTCCGACACAATGTGTGTCTGTTGTCGTGAGGAGTTAGTGAATGGGCTATCATTCTGCAGTGGAGTATGACAAGAGAGACAACCAACGTGAATCCCTTCCTTAGCACATGTCTGCCTTCTCTCCAGCAATGGAAGCCTAACTCAGGTGTTCCAGAGCGGTCTGATCATGTTCACCCTTTCAAATAACAATAAATCAATTTTATTAACTCCACCTGGACACACATGAGGCATCTGCAATTCTGGTTTGAAAAAAACCAAGACCAAGATTGCAGGAGCCCTGCTTCCCACTTCGGCCTCCCCCAAGCCCTCAAGACAAGGGCTGGCCAGCCCAGGACTTTTCAACAGTACAGAAGCAAAATTAGCTTTCCATCCTTGTCTATTCTCTCAAGCCGCAGTTAAAGCCCCTGGCAAATTCTGGAGAAAACATAAAAAGTAATTATAGTGATGAGGAGTCTGCTATTGATTTGCTCACTATCACCCCAGAGAGCTGTCACTGAAACGGGGGACCTGAATGCTGATGGAGAACTCCCTCACTCATGACATAAATTACCTGGCTGGCTCTGCCTTACTTGGCCAGCCTAAGACGCCACACTAGATATTAATTTTCCACTCTGGTGGCATATCTTTTTGGCTTGTCACATTGTCCACTGATGTTACAAGAGCAGTTAACACCCCCCCAGCTCTGCCTGTATCAAAGCGGATGTGTTTGACTACAGAAGCCCCTTCTGCTGCCCGCCCTTCGCAGTGCTGGCACAGGATCAGCCACAGGTAATTCGCCCTCCAAGGTCACAGTCAGCCCTGAGGCTCCACGGAGCGCTCAAATCAAGACAAAGAGCTCTGAGTGGTTACAGCGCCTGATCCAAAGGCCACTGAAACCAAAGATTACCACTGATTTCAACCCACTTACTAGCGATCAGACCCACAACTGCCCCACTCGTTCTTTTGATCTCATTTGCATATTCATATACCAATTATCTGTTTTCCTTACATCTGTTTCAACTGCCCCCTACAGAACTGCTCAACTCAGCATATATATATATAGTGTTCACCTCTCAAAGAGGAGGCAATACAGCCCAGAGAGGTTTGCTTAGCTTCATTTACCCTGAATCACCAGGGACCAGCATCCTGCCTTGGGAAAACACTGTTCCCAATGCTGCCTTCTCTGCCGACAGCAACATCTGAGTTTGCTCCTTCTAGGCTACGAGTCCCCTCCTTTATGCCAAATGGCAATACCAAGCTGGGACCAAAGACAAGACCCAAGTCCTCTCTGTGGCTGCCCTAAGTTCCCAAAACTCATGGCACAACACCTGCCCCAGCTTACCACCAGACAATGGGACAAGCCACAGACGTTTCACTGCATTACAGGTTTTTCTTAGAAAGAGAAAACAGACCAGCCCTTAAATCACTGCACGTGCTGGTCCCAGGCAAATGCTCAAAACAGCATTCTCACATTGAATTTTTGATTGCAAGCAAACTAGAAATGGAATTAAGAAAAAAAAAAACCAAACCCACAGTCAACAGAAATTCTCTCCCAACATGGGAAACACAAGCTCTTCAGCGAACAACTGCCTTGTTCTCATTACAGAAAAATCCTTCTTTGTTTTAAATGAAGGAATTTATCACTTGGGCTTTTTCTCCAAAGACACATTTGGCTCTAGAAATATAAATGATATTGTCATGCTTCAAAGCAAATAGTCTATCAAAGCTCAATAATAAATTAATCATTACAGATGTGCACGATCTTGAACTGTGCGCTATTTGGCCTACTCTACTGTAAACACTCAAATCAGCGTTACAAGTTCCACAACTTCACAGATTCACATTAAAATACAAGAAACCACAGGGGCATAAATGTACATATAACATGTGCTGGTACATGCTTAAAACTCCTTTAATTTGCTCAGTTTTTATTCAGGTCATTATGTAAAGCACAGCTGTTTTGTGAGTTGGCTAAAACATATTAAATGGAATCCTTCATAATGAAATCATCTGACTTTGAGAACGCCTGAAGTTTAGGTGTAGCTGCAAGATGCAGAGAGAAGACATGGAAGGAAAAACCCCTACTACTCAGCAACAGCCCCCCCCCCCAAACAATGTAAAACCTAAAGGAAGTTCATGATTTTGGAACAGAGGGATTGCTCTTTAATCTGATCAGCTGGGCAGATAAACAGGCAGAAGCATTGTCACTCTGCAGCCCTTCCTGAAAATATTGCATAAGCACATTACAGATCCATTTCTTTAACTAGATCAGAACTCCGAATACAATAAGCCACGATCTGTATCAGAAATGAATTTAGAAAGGACTCTAAATCCTTGTTAAAAGGCCACAGACGCAAAATCTGAAATGCACAACCTGGAACTGCAGACCCGAAGGGACATTTAAAGCCACAGCACCTGCATTTTCCCAGAGAAACTTACGTCTTCTTGACACCAGTTGGTTCTCCTGACAGCTTTTATAAATGCTGCCAGGTTTTCCCTCTAACTTCTCTAAACGTAGAGAAATAAATTGTCAAGTGATAGGTTAAAAAAGGAGATCCTTTATTTGTATTCTCATTAATGAATTAGAGAAGTCAATCTTCTTACCTTGAACTGACAGACACAAGTCACACTGTCTCCAATCCTTAAACACTCCCCATCAAATTTACAGGTATTGGTGTCGCAGAGAAAGAGATCGTTTTCTCTATCATCGTAGCCTCAAATGTAAAGAGGGGGGAGAAGAAAAAAAAAAAAAAAGAAAATATATCAGCTTTGGTCTAGCAAGAGGAACAAAACGGGATGATTGCATTTTAATGCACACAGCACAATAACCTTGTTAATGAAATGATACAGTCCAGATTTTCTTTTGTCCTTCCCTGTCCTCAGTTTTCCACTTTTTCTCTTGTTTCTCCCTTGGTCCTTCCATTAGTCCTTTTTCCCCACAACCTCACACACTTCTTTTTTCTATTTCACAGCCTCTATTTCCTCAAAAGTGCCCCGCAATTACGCTATTTCATGGTTCTGGGTTGGAAATGTCATCAACTTATCCCCATCCGATCACAAAACTGTTGGACAAAAGTCCAAACTGGAATTTCTCCAGCCCATGACGCAACAAAGCCCCCAATAATAAAGACAAACAGGCTGTGTGCTTTCTGTGATGGTCTGCCTGATCCCAATGAAGATTGATCACCTCTAAGTTAACAGGAGAAGTGCCAGGTTCCTCACAAGCCGCTGAGTGAACCTAGCTCTCTGCCTTAATTTTCTCCAGGAAAAACCAACAGATCTGACTGAAGATTCAGTTCACGAATCCGAACATGAATTTCATATTTCACGAGCTGACTTCCCACTCCGACAGCGTGCAGCAAGGTACTAAACAAAACAGCTATATCAGACTCCAAACTCCAAAACCATATCTAAATCCATCGATTTTTTTTTAAAAACATCCCAGCGTTCTTAAGGATATCGCTACATGTTTAATACGAAGAGCTTACAGTGGCAACTCCCCCCGATCTAACATATTATGCGTGCTGCCAGCGTTACCCCAAATAACGATCTTTCCCTTAGAAGCCTATTACAGCCTGATTTCAGAATTACTTTACACATCGGAGAAGGACCAGCTACTGACCTACATCAAAAACTCATTACAAAGGTCAGCCCGACTTTAAGGAGCAGGCAGAGGGTTCCCGGTGTGGCGGCATTCATACCCCGATCTGCTCTCACTTCGGTGCGCACAGGCGCTGCAGGGTGCGCACACACGGCCCGTCTCCCCGCTCCCCTTTCCCGCAGCCGCT